GCATTGTAAATGGTTTCATTATTTTACTCCAATAGGATGAAATCTTGATGAGAACATTTTATTTCTTACTTCAACCATTAGAACAATTTAATATTTATTTATTTATATCAAATGGCAGGCGTTGTGAAAGTTATCATTAGCCCTTTAGTTGCCTTCAGGCTTCAGAGGGGAGGAGGAACATCAAAGTGGCAAAAGTCGAGAGGGGACAGAAGAGAGTTTCAAAGATGTAAAAGAGACAGACACAAGAGTGGAAAAAGGTGAGGTGAGTACTGTGGAAGTAGTCGAATATGACATACGATGGGGTGAGGGTAGTTTGAAGTCAGAAGTCAACTGCCAATTAATAGACTTTTTTTGCCGTATGAGTATACGTTACGCAGGGTGCACCACGTGGAGGTAAGTCTATCACATACCCCACAGTTTAATATTGAAGTCTGAAAAAAATCAGTTATAAATGATCAAGTTAAACTTAAATTGCTATTGGACTCTTTTTTTAAAGAAGAAGTGAATTGACACTCTGCGTCTTTCCAATCAATAATTCTATCATTCTACTAGAAATTGTCTAAAATGAAAGCAGAGAGAAAATTTTAATACATAAATATTTTATTAATTTAATTGCAAACAAACACAACATTTTATCGGATAATTACATTAGTTTAAGCAATGAATTAAAAATGCCAATCAAATTCCATTTATTCAATTTTTGTGACGTAAATTGAAACTTTCTTGAGCAGGTTTAAGTTGTGTAGTTGAGTGTTATAAAGCGGCATGCCTAAATTACATTATATTATTAAAAAAAGCATTAAAACACATTAATATTGAGATTATTTAACGTATTCAACATGAGATTCAACTAATGAATTTGTTGTACGCATAAGATTGAAGTAAAAACAATTAATGAAAATCACAGTTAAACGCATTTATTTATTAGATTTGAAATGATCCACTTTAACCGTTTAGTATTCTTAATAGGTTTGGACTGAGCAATTAAAAAAGTCTTAATTTCACATTTTCAGTAAGAATAAAAAACAAACACTGTCACTCATTTAACAAAAACTTTCCTTACCCCAGTTCTGTTGTTATGGCAATTGAAGGCTATTTGAGAGAAGATAACTACTTAAATATGTCAATAATATTATGAAACCACATGATTTTAAATGACGTAAATTAAACCAAATCAGATTTATGCTGTTTGGAAAATAAGTTTGTTATGATATAATTACTTTTCCAATTTCTTTCTTAATTAAAATGAAAATTTAGGGAAACTAAAAAATTTAATTTTAGATTGAACCATCTAATTTCAAGCAAATAAGTTTCAAATATGGGGTGCGCGATAGACTTACCTCCTCCTGGTGCACCCTGGACAACGTATTTTCTTACGACAAAAACGTCTATCACTCGACATTCGTTTTTGACTTCGATTAATTATGATTAGCTTTAAAAAAAGGCTATAAGAAAAATCGCCCTCGTCAGGGCGAATCACAACGTCTTCAGATCCTCCAGTGGAATGCTGGAGGAATGTCTCCGGACAAAAAGATCCAAGTACAGGATATCCTACAACCTATGATGTAGACATTTTCACAATTATGGAAGCTAACATTTCGGATGACAAACTGAAGTATTACCAATTCCCAGGTTACACCCTGTACAATCTACCTAAATACCGGCAAGTTGCAAGTGGAATTCTAACTGGAGTAAAAGAGGGCCTCACCTCACACTACGACCTAATCAAGAGTATGGGCTCGACACAAGACAAATGTGAAATAATCAGATTAAATGTTTGGAAATGTCAAAACCACTTCAAGATATATGCAGTCTATAATCCTCCCCAGAATTTTCCAAACTTTGACTTTCTGAACATCTCACACAAAACTATAGTATTAGGAGACTTCAACGCCCACTCCACCAGATGGGGCTACAAGGATACAAACATAGCTGGAAAGGAAATTGAAGACATGCTAAACAGCAACATTCTGGAACTTATTTATAGCAATGAGGATCCGTCTACTTATTTGCACTACAATTGATNTCAAGAAGGCTGACTGGTCTAGATTCACAACACTTTCAGACAATGAACTTCACACAAGTCCCCTCAAACTCAACCAACATCCTCACAAACTTTGCAATGATATCACGAATATTATGATTAGATGTGAAAAGAAAACTATGTTCCGTGGCAATACTAAACACTATCGAGTGTTTTGGTCTGAACACCNAACTCCTGATTTACTCTTGGCTTCAAGCGACATCAGTTAGTGCGTTTCCACCAAGTGCTGGAACTCTGTGCTTATCCCAAGTGCACGTTATTCGTTACTCTTCAACATTTCTTGGATTATTTGATTGCAATTTGGAAATTTGTCTTTAAATTGTGCCAGATTTGGTACATTCATTCACGCATCAAAACGCAATCAACTCTACTTGACTAACTTCAACCTGAAAGTTTTATCGAAACCTCATTAATTTGCTCACATCACCCGAACATCAATGTTTCACTCTCCTGCAATGCACTCTCTATCCAGACAACCTCATTTAATCAATCGATTTAGATTTGTATTCATATTCTTAACCACAAACGCACGATCGATAATTGTCACAAATATATGAATATCTAGAGTTGTTCTGCAATGCACACATCACATAAAGAGGCCTATTGTCAATTTGCATGCTTTGTATGAGTTTTCAAATTTTTTGATCAAAAAGGACCTCACAATTTTAGAGCAAGCACTTTGTCTGCTCACAAAATTAATTAAACTTCATAAAGTTTAGTTCAATTAATTTTGATATTTCGAGTAAAGTAAAAATTTGCCTTTTTGAAGGCCTCATTCTTATTGATCCTATTACGCACGAGTGGTGTTTGATTGGATAAGCCTACGCATATATAGAAATTTGCTAATTTGACAACATGTTTAATGACTAATGATTTTCTTTCTACTCATTTGTGCTCTTCTGCAAACCAGAGACTGCTCTGGACAGGAGAACTCAAAATTGCCTGATTCGATATGTTCAAGGATTGTGTCATCATCATCTGGTAGATCGGAACCAATTATTATCAAGAAGGAATCTTCAGATGTAGGCAAATGAAATTTGTTTAGATCCACTGTCACTTCTTCTTACTTGTAGACTATTTTTGCTAATGATTATTCGCTGCCCTCCAATCTGTATTTCGAAAATGGCAGATGCACATTGAATGGTTTAAAAATTGGAGAACCATGTTCTATCGAAAATGGTAAAAAACATTTCTCCGTGCTTGACTAATTAATCTGAAATCTCCAAAAGGTTTCTACAATATTACAATTGATAACGTTCAAGAAATTAATCAAATACAATATTTTGGAAAAAATTTCGTATGTGTTGTCAATATTGTTCCCCAGTGTAAATTCAAATCTGTTGAAGAAGGTTAGATAAGCAGAAATGTAATTAATTGTTAAATTAAAGCTAATATTTGTTGCATTATAGGAGAACTGCTGCCCCAAGTCTCTTATCCGTTTCTTAGATTTCAAGGTGGAAAAAATTCGGTCTCAATAAGGTTTTCTCAAAAGGGACCATCTAACGGCATTAAAGTTTGTGCTCATTTTGCAACAATATTTAAATTGATTTTCTTTAAATTTTCTATTGCAAATATCTCATGAGATAAATTAAATTTTAATTATTCAATTTATTTATATCAAATGGCAGGCGTTTTGATGGTTATCACTAGCCCTTTAGTTGACTTCAGGCTTCACAGAGGGGAAGGAACATCAAAGTGAAAAATAGTCGAGAGGAGGGGAACTGAAGAGCGTTTCAAAGATGAAGGTTGAAAAATTAGAAAAATATGATGTAGTACTGTGGAAGTGGTCGATATGTCAAACAGTGGGGTTGTGTTAGTTTGAGGTCATCTGCCGGTTAATAGACATTTTTGAGGTTTGAGTAAACGTTGCCCAGGATGCACCACGTGGAGGTAAGTCTATCACCCACCCCATTTTAATAAATCAATAAGATTTCCGACAGTTTGTAGTTACTAGATGTGCAGAATTCGTTTCACTTCTTCTCTTACAGACCGTGTTGTCGAAGAACAGTGCTGATGTCTGTGTATGGTTTGAAGAGAAGGTCAATAAGACTGCAAGCAAGAACAATTGTAGTAGGTCATTTTGAATAGACCTGTTGGCGCAGTTCAACTTAATTGATTTTTCACGTTTTATTTTAGAGGATCTCGATAAAAATTCCGAAAAAGATCAGCTGGATTACACATTCGATTATAAACGAACTGAAGATGATGATAGCTTTACAACATTTACTAT